CCCACAGTCCACAGAGTCCCACATAACCCCACTCACTCCTGGACACCAGACCCCACAGTCCACAGAGTCCCACACAGCTCCACTCACTACTCGACACCAGACCCCACAGTCCACAGAGTCCCACATAACCCCCCTCACTTCTGGACACCAGACTCCACAGTCCACAGAGTTCCACATAACTCCACTCACTCCTGGACACCAAATCCCACAGTCCACAGAGTCCCACATAACCCCACTCACTTCTGGACACCAGACCCCACAGTCCACAGAGTTCCACATAACCCCATTCACTCCCGGACATCAGACCCCACAGTCCAGAGAGTCCCACATAACCGGCTTACTGAAAGCAGGAGCACCTTTCAGGCCTGCTCTGAGCTGTCTTGGATGAAAGCAGAGGAATGGAAACTGAGTTTTAGGCCTGCCATTAAACAATACAGTTATGATGGGTTCTCCTGCAAATTACATCAGCAACAAAAGCTCACAGCAGAACACAGGGAGAAAAATAAACAAAACAACAACCCCCCAGTATTTCTACAGCCTAAAGAGAAACATGGTTCATACTCCAATTTCAAAACGCAGACCAAGGATAGGCTTGTTCTGGAACCCCCACAGCCTGCTTCTTTTCCCTCCGTTTAGCAAAGTTTCTCATCTCCACCTCCCTCCCTCCCTCCACCGAGCTCTGCTGGCAAATCCACCCTGGTAAAACCCCCTTCCCCAGTGACTGTGTCTGCCTTCCACCCAGCCCGGCTCCACGTTCACACCATGAGCTTCAGCAGGACTGCTGGAGCCCTCACAGGGCCAGTCCTCTGCCTCATGCCCACTTTGGGAAGAGACAGGAAGCTCTGGCCACCTGCTGGCCCCGGCCTCTTTCGATCCCCTCAACTGCCCCAGCCCTATGTCCTGTCCCCTGCCCGTCCCTACAGCAAGGCTCTCATCAGCATAAACCGCTTTCCCACTCCCCATTGGGTAAAAAATGAGTCTCCCTCCCAGCTCCAGGCCAGGCCCCTGAGCAGGCCCTTCTGTGCCAGCCGCCAAGCCCAGGGCAATCCTGCGCTCCCCTCCTGGGTCCTCTCTGTGGTCTGACTGTCCCCTGAAAACATTTCCTTCTCCAGGGCTCTATGAATGGACCTGCCCTCCATGGAGTCCCCAGCTCATGGCTGCTCCCCAAGACTAGATGCCAGGATACTGGAATGCCCCAAAGAGGCTTGAGCCCCCAATTCTGACTTCTCTGCCACCTACTTGCTCCCAACAACAGAAATACCATGCAGAATGGATGGGCACCTCTGTCCCCAGAGCCCTGGCTCAAGGCCTCCAGGCCTGTGCATCCAACATGTGGCAGGCATGAGACTCCCACGCTTTACCCACAGTCTCCCACCCATATCATGAGCCCACCCAGGGTGGAATGCCGAAGCTGTCCTCCGTTCCCGGCCTCATGCTCTCTACCTCATCTGCCGTCTACCTTCATTGCAGCTGGCTCAGACCATGCGTCCCCACATCACTGCGGGCCTAAGCCCAGGGCCCCTGCGCTTCCCACCCCAGCCAGCCCCAGACCTGCCAGTTCCCATCCACTGCGGCCCTGCACAGAGCAGCCAGGCGGCCTTTACAAATGGACACCAAGCTGTGTCACCATCTTCTCCACCCATGAAACCATAAGCCTACTGTGACTACATAGGGCCCAGAGGTTGGATTACCAACCACCGCAGGCCCCGCTTCTGTCACCCCTAACCTCGCTGTCGGGTCCCAGGACCTGGGCTCTGCCGAGCTGCCTGCCCCACCATTTCCACCAACAACAGTAGGGTCCCCTGGGCTTGGCTCAGGACACTCTGCAGAGTGGCCCCGGGTGACTGTGGCTCCTGCACTCACCACCACCTAAAGTTCTGTCCTTTGCTCTCCTATGGGCCACTAGCTACCCCACTGGATAAGTGTGCCGCCAGGGAGGCAGGTGCCTATGTCACTGGCTGTGGCGTCCCCAGCACCAAGAGGAATGTCCTTAAGTGGCTGCTGAGTGAACAGCGACTGTTCTGGAACTTCAGAACAGCTGTCGCCAAACCACCGGGCCTTGGTCCTGCAGACGCTGGCTCTGCCCAGACCCGCACAGTGCCCTGATGCTGCCTCTCTGCACAGCTGGGCAACTTATTCCAGGGTCTCAGCAGACAACCCTCACCACCTCCAGCCTAGGCCCTGGTGCCCACACCTCCAAAGAGGGTGATTTCCAACTCTATCCAACCCTGTCCCATGGCAAGGGCCTGCAACCGTGGCCACAGCCACAACCACCAAAGGCTGTAGAGCCGGCACATGAGTCTGTCAAGCGATGAACCCTCAGCACACCCCTGCTGGGTGGAGGGGAAGGCCCTAAGGCCGAGAGCCAGGACGCCAGCTCACAGTCATAAGCTGGCAAGCAAGGACACCCAGACGGGAGCCTCCACCTGGGCTGCATGCCCTGGGGTCCGTACAACACTGACTGCTGCTCTGCCTGTGACCCAGGCCAGTATGATGCGTGGCCCAGGGCAAAACACACAGCCACATGCACACACGCCCCAGGGCCTTCCTTGTCCTTCACAGACATGGCCATGGCCAGGGCAGCATGGAGGGGACCTATAGTTTGTTTAGGCCAAAATGCTTCAAAAGCAAAGCCCATTTGTTCCCTAAAGCAGTAGCAAGCTTTTTTTGGAGACACAATTTTACTCTTTTTGCCCAGGCTGGAGTGCAGTGGCGTGATCTCAGCTCACTGCAACCTCCGCCTCCCAGGTTCAAGCAATTCTCCTGTCTCAGCCTCCCGAGTATCTGGGATTACAGGCACCCACCATCACCCCTGGCTAATTTTTGTATTTTTTAGTAGAGATGGGGTTTGACCATGTTGGCCAGGCTGGTCTCGAACTCCTGACCTCAGGTGACCCACCCGCTTCGGCCTCCCAAAGTGCTGGGTTTACAGGCGTAAGCCACCACGCCTGGGCAAGTGGGAAGCTTTTTAACACTAGAGGTCCAGAAACCAGGAGAGCCCGCCTGTTGCCCCATGGGCCACACTGCGGGGCCCTCCCCCAGGCTCAGAGGCAGCCAAACCAGTGGGAGTGGGGCCGATGTGGGCTGACGAGAAAACAGCTGGAAAGCACACCTGCCTCATTCACAGACGGCAGATAAGCACTCGCCAGAGACATCCCTCGCTTGGTCAGGCATGCTGAGGGATGCCCGAGCCCCAGCTGAGCCACTGTCTCACTGGGAACTCAGGCCCTGTGTGGTCAGGGCAGGGGTCCACAAAGCCATAGCACCGATACCCACTTCAGCAGCCCCCAGACCCCTCACAGGCTCTCACATCTGCTTTGCCTCTGACATCGTGGCCTTGTGTAGCAAACACATCACTGACCCCTTTCCAAAAACACGGCGGTGGGGCCGGAGAGGCTGTGTTCTTCCCAGGCACGTGCCACCTGTCACTAGTAGAGACGGGACTCAGGCTCTTCACATGCCCTTCCATGCTCAACATGGCTTCAACAAGAGGAGGCAGCCATGGGCTGGCACCTGCAGCTGAGGGCTCATGGGGACAGGAGTCCCTGCCGAGACCCAGGGTCCAGGTGCCCTGAATCCCAAGCCACTCCTGCAACAGACTCACCATGTCTGCTCTTTGTTTCTGGCCTCCCAGCTCCTCCAGGGCCTGCGACAGCTGAGCCTGCAAGACAAGATGGGATTTGGCCTCAGGCTGGGGTAGACCAAGCACCATTTCCAGGACCGCGGAGAACATAACCCCCACCACCCCGCAGCCTCCATTCCCTGTGGAGCAACAGGGCCCAGGAGCTGGGCAGTGGGCAGCTGGAAGGCTGGCAGCGGCCAGTGTGGCCACCCCGTGAGGCCCAGAGCCCAGTGATAGAGACAGAGACCAAGTAGGGAGCAGGTGGCTAGAGAGTTGGCAGGGGCCAGCATGGCTACCCCTTGGGGCTCAGAGCCCAATGATGGGGACGAAGACTGAGTGGGCAGCAGGTGGCTTGACAGAACCAAGGTCTATCCCAAAAATCTGCCTTAGGAAGCTGATTATGAATGGAGTGGACAAAGGGGCGGGCCCGAGAGGGACTGTGAAATCGGGGGAGAGGCGGAGGGGAAAGGTTCAGGATGGGACTTTCCGTCAGAGGAAATCAATTAACCATAACCCCTACCCAGGCGGGGAAGGTCTCCTGCCCCCACACACGCCCCAAAGAGCGCTGGGCCTAACCCCACACTAAGGATAGAAAAGCCAGCAATGAGAAGCCAGCCACCTCCTCCTAAAAGGCCTCATGGAGCAGCAAGGCTGGGCCTGGCTGTGGGGCCGGGACATTAGCAGGCCAGCTCCCTGCTGGGGACAGTGACCCTGCCCCACGCATGGGGCTCAGGACCTCAGAAACCCCCTGCCCTGGGCCTTTGCCCCTGCGGGTCCTGCCTTCCCCCACATCCCCTGCCCCTGCCCCTTCCTGACTCTATCCCACGACCCTGCTTCGCTACCCACTGCCCCCACCACTTAAACATACCACGTCTGCGACCTGGAACCAGGGAGGAAGGGTCAGGCACTGGGGGCCTTGTAAGACCTCCCTGCTCTGGGGCACAGAACAGAGGAAAGGCCGGGAAGGAGACTGAGGGGCCAGCCCAGGAGTGAGGCAGGTGACTGTGGTGAGGGTGTGCAATTTGCGGGGTGGAGGTCCAGCATGCCTGGGGTTGAAGGAGGAATTGAGAGGCCTGGCCCAGCAGCAACTGGAAATCACCAGGCAAGTCAGCAGGAGAGACAGGAGAGAGAAATGTGAGGGAGGGAGGCATGCATATGTGCATGCACATGAATGTGGGTATGAGAACACTGGTGTGTGATGTGTGCACATGTGGTGGGGATGGGGGAAATATATTTGGAAACACCAAGAACAAGGCACTATAGCCCCTGGGGACACAGCCCGGGGAAAGTGGCCCAGGTAGCAGCCCACAGTCCTCAGGCACTCTGCTCTGCAGATCACGGGTCCTCAAGCTCTCCTACAGGCCCAGCACAGCCAGGCTCTGGACTTCCCATGGGCCATGCTGGGTGCCTGCCGGTTCTGGATGCCACAGCAGAGTCAGACTCTGGCTCCAGGTGCCCCTGGGGAGGCTGCAGGTGTGAGCACCTGAGCCCCCCGAGTCTCTGCTGTGGGGCCTCACTCAGAGCATCCGAGTGACCCCCATTGCCCAATGCCCTGTGCAACACCTATGGGTGTGGGGCAGGCCTTGAGCTCTGCCCACTACCAGCCCCGCCTGGTGCCCTCTCACTTCCCTGGGGGAGGCTCTGAAGCCTGCCTGGCCACTGTCATCAGGAGGCAGGTGGCCATGGCCACTCTGGGCTGTGTAGACTGCTTCATGGAAAGCTCAGTGCCTCAGGGTCAGGGAGCAGCACATCATCCTCCACACAGCCAGCTGAACCCTGGATAATCTGCCCAGTGCTGGGGTCACAAGCACCTGGGAACAGCAGATGGAGAGGGACATCCCCCAATCTCGGCCTAGACACAATGCGCTTCACTCAGCTACACTCCTGCACATGGCACCCCTGGGCACTCCCGGGGGCACAGAGCCAGGTTGGGGCATCCCAGACACCCCATGCGCTTAGGCACAGCCTCAGCACTCGGGAAGCAGCTGCAGTTCACACTCATGCTTGCCTCACGCAACCCTGCACCCAGCACCCTGCCCAGATCTACCCGTACCCACAGGCCGCCAGGCCACAGAGACCACCCCAAACATGGGGGAAGACAACAAGGCTCTGAGCTGGCATGAGTGGTGAGAGGTGGCCGTTAGAGCTGCCCATACCCCCTGTAGCCTGGGCATGTCCGCCACGCTTGGCACCCACCCTGGGCACACAGGCAGCTGGCACATGGATACCAGCCTCAGGTCACAGCTGCAGATGAGGCACATCATCATCCCCATTTACATCAGTTCACGTGGCAACCTCGCGAGGTCTAAGGCACTTTATGACACAGCTTGGAAGAGACCTGGGCCATTCATAAGCAGCAGGGCAGGGAGCTGTGTGCAAGGCCCAGGCCAACCCGCTCTCCTGCGCCTCCCAACACAATCACTGCAGGGTGGAGCTGTGACCACGGTGGCCAGCCGAGGGTCCTGCCGAGGCCAGGCAGGCCAAGGCAACCTCAGCCTTCACTGCCTCCTGTACCACGCAGGTAGCCCACAGGAGTTTTCAGAAGGTTTCATGAGGTTTCTGTGAGGACAGCACTGAGCAATGTGCACCTGAAGACAAGTGCATTTATAATCGGCTCATCAGCCTGAGGCCAAGGTGTTCGCCTCCGCACCAGCCCCATTCAGCCTCGTACTTCCGTCAACAGCTGGAAAAAACAGAATGCGCGTTTCCTTAAATCCTCTGTGCCCTGAAAACGACACCAGTGAGATTTTTCAGACATCCCCAAAACCAGAGTTGCTGGCAGTAAGGTGACTGAGCCGTGGAGTCCTGCACTCGGACTTGTGCCCTGGTCTGCAGTACCTGGACAGAGTGCCTCAGAGTAGCTCCCATGAGAGCACAACCCCAGGATGGAGGCAGAAAGCCGACTGCGCATCAGCAGGAGGGGCTGTGACAGGGCTCGCACACCCGCCTGGCGCTGAACAGGGCCCTGGGTTCAGAAAGGTAGATGTCAACAAGCTGCTCCCCAGGAGGCAACCAGGACAGCAGAGGGCATCACAGGAGCCATTCAGCCACGAACAGAGATGGCTTCTAGACAGCAAGAGCTGCCTTTAACCGAACACTGAACACACAGGTGTCACTCAGGCTGCAATGAGACGGCCACGGATCCTGTGTGACCCATGAGGTTCTACGTCTTTGCCTGCATTAAGGGGGTTACACACATATACTCACCCTGTCGTCCAACAGGCTGTATACTTACAATCTGTGCACCTGGGTGTATTATGTTACATTTCCATTAAAACATATACTCTAGCACCGTGGGGTACAAACCACAGAGGAAGAGAGGGGCGGCTCTGTTATCATAAAGATAAATTGTTTCAGCCAAGCACAGTACTCATATGGGAGGCCAAGGCACAAGAACTGCTTGAGCTCAGGAGTTCGAGACCAGCCTGGACAACATACAGAGATCCTGTCTCTAAAAAAATTTTTAAATCAGCTGGGCGTGGGGGCACACAACTGTGGTCCCAGCTACTCAGGAAGCTAAGGTAGCAGGATCTCTTGAAACAAACAGGTTGAGGCTGCAGTGAGCCATGACTGTGCCACTGCACAATCATGGGCAACAGAGTGAGACCCTGTGTCAAAAACACAAAAACAAAGATGTGAAACACACAAAAAAAGGTTGTTTGTAATCAGCCACATCTTCCCAACAAGGACGGCCAAATGGGACACCGCACAACCCTGAGTAAGAGGTGACTCCAGACAGGGCCTTCTCAGCAAAGCAGCCACCAGACAGAAGCTCAGCAGGCGGAGGGGCCAGAAATCTGAGAGTGTGACACGGGGCGCATGTTCCACACACACAGAGATGGGGATGTAGCAGGGAGGCAGGAGGGAGCTCAGGTCTGGTTTATAGACATCCCACAGCACAAGGTTTGTGGGTACAGGACACCTCAGTCACCTCTCACTCATAACCTGAAAAGACACATGTGGCGCTCCTAAGAATGGGGGTAACATGGAGAGGACACAGGCAGAGAAGGCCCTGTCGGCATGCAAGGAAATGCACTGCTGTCTGTGGCTCAGATATGTGGTCAGACATGAGGTTTCCAAGCAGCCAAAAAAAAAAATGTTTTACATGAGAGTGGGTGCCAACAGGTTAGGAGCTAGTGGGGAGAACAGCAGTGGCTGCAGTCTGGGGTGTCAGCCACAACGCATGCCTGGCCTGGGCCTCCCTGATGTGACAGGTTCTGCAGAGGGAGACTGTGAGAAGTTCACAGCAAAGCCCCAGCACCGAGGTGCATTTGATAAATGTCCACTCCTCCCTCACTTTACCGTTCAAAAGAAAACGACTGGAGAAAGAAAAACAAAGGAAACATTGAAACCCGCACAATCCACTACAGGTGATACAGGATATCACTAAGCCCATAGAGCCCACTACAGGAGAGACAGGACATCACTAAACACACACAGCCCACTACAGGGAAGACAGAACATCACTAAACCCACAGAACCCACTACAGGGGAGACAGGGCATCACTAAACCCACAGAGCCCACTACAGGAGAGACAGGACATCACTAAACCCACAGAGCCCACTACAGGAGAGACAGGACATCACTAAACACACAGAGCCCACTACAGGGGAGACAGGACATCACTAAACCCACACTGCCCACTACAGGGGAGACAGGACATCATTAAACCCACACAGCCCACTATAGGAGAGACAGGGCATCACTAAACACACACAGCCCACTAAAGGAGAGAGAGGACATCACTAAACACACACAGCCCACTACAGGGGAGACAGGGCATCACTAAACACAGACAGCCCACTACAGGAGAGACACGGCATCACTAAACACACACTGCCCACTACAGGAGAGACAGGGCATCACTAAACACACACAGCCCACTACAGGAGAGACGGGGCATCACTAAACACAGACAGCCCGCTAAAGGAGAGACAGGACATCACTAAACACACACAGCCCACTGCAGGAGAGACAGGACATCACTAAACACAGACAGCCCACTGCAGGAGAGACAGGACATCACTAAACACACACA